GCACACCCCTCCTCCGCCTACCCTTTCTTCCCGGAAGTAGTATGGGCTGAGCCCAAGGCGTTCCAAGAATGCCCCAATCCTCCAGCCATTAGGGTCCAACATTGGCATAGCTCACCTGCGGTGTATTCCATCTCCATTCAGCTGCTCGGAATTCAGCTTTACTTCCGGATTCTCGTCTCAGCACAACTTCCAATTTGCAATGGCGCACGTACACAGAGAAATGATGGCGATTCATCCCTGGAATAAAGAGCCGATTAGGTATATCACCCGGATTTCAAGCAAAAAAGTGGAATTTGTAATTTTTCCAACGGAGACGTAATCGAGGCTTAACGACACGGTTGGGATGGAATGCCTGGAATACACGCTGACAAGCTTCTATCGTCCCCATAACCAAACTCACAAGTTGTGGGCAAAACTCAAGCTTCGGGCGGGAATCGAGCCTGTGCTTGTCTTTTCGAGTACCATGCTCCCAATCCCTGAAGCTATCGAGATCTACCCGTTTCCTTGCCTTCTTAATGGCTTGTTACCAAACTGTACTGCTGAATGGGGTGTACTGTAACTGTTCAACGAACTTCTGGATCGAATCTCGTCAGATATTTGGTTATTCAATTTCCGTTAAGTAAGCCACACGCGATGGAGCAACCCACCATCCTACTGCACTAAAGTTCTCGCGTACTTTCTTTTGATTTTTCTAACAAACCTTTTTTTTCACAGAAGTAGGTAATCAGAAAGGTTTTACAACTTGCGTAGAAGTAACGCACTTGAGCTCAAGCGGTTGAGGTTCTCAGAAAAAGCAAGTGTCCGAGGAATTTGTAGGAAAAAACAGTGTAGGGCGAATAAACGCAGGGACATGGGAGGAACTCCCAGAGTCAGGCGTGGATGGGTAGTTTGGGATGAAAGTGATAGGAATTTTGAGTTGTGGGCTCCTCTCTCTGCTCCCGGAAGTCATAAGGCGGAAGGCCAAAAAAATGGAAAATTTTGAGGGCCCGGTAAACGATAGAAGTGACCCTCCCCTATGCAACCTTTGCAGCGATCAATTTTAAGAATTTCTTTTTCCTAAGACTTTCTAGAGCTTAATACCCGATATTGGACCCAGAATCCGGTACGACGTTAATCGTAGGGGCTTCCCCGTGGCTTTGCAGACTTCAGCAACCAAATAACCGTAACCTCCCTCCCTCTCATCCCAGGAACATTACAAATTTTCTAAAGACAAGTGGAGGTAAGTGAAAAAGACAACCTCTTTGGAATACATCTACCAAGCTCATTAGCACTAAGGTAACTTTTTTAAGGCCGATGGGAGAGGCATGCTAATTACCTTCAAAAAACACCCATTCACATTCATTTTTCTGGTAATTTTACTTTTTATTGCCGATCATGAGACTTTATTTGCTTACCTTGTTCATCGGATTCACATAAAATGTTCTTTTTGTTCTTCTGATCGTCTTTTGTCCCTCGGGCATGTTTCATTGAGAACGTCAAAGAGAACTTGTCCGGTACTAGTCCTGAAAGAAGTAAAATTACACTTTTTTCTACTGTCCGTTAGATTCTTCTGCTTGAAAGGGTTGTGGAAGCTTTAATGAGTCAGATTTCCGCAAATATCTTTCAACTGACAAGATAATTGGGATGTTTTATGGTGATAATTATAGGTGTTAGCCAGATGTTTTTGTTATTCTTTTTATGTTATGATTCAGATACCATCCAATTAAATCTCCGCCTCACTGAGAATCCCTTGTATCAACAACTTCTGTAAAACAGAACTCAGCAGAATTGCAGTTTACAAAAAACCATGAAAGATCCATTTCTGTGAACCTTGGAAAGTCGTTTCAATGAACAGATATTGTAAGTATAGGCTTGCTCCGAACGTCAGGAGGGGCATCCGGGGCCAGTACGCAGACTCCTGTTTCTCCAGGCCTTAACCTTCACAGCGAGTCTTCCTCATCTCCACTGTGTATAGCCGCTAACTCTGAGCGTTACCAGTAACAGACATTCAGGAAGGGCATAACTTCAGTAGGCCCTACTCACCCAGGTCAATCCAGCCCCCAATATCATCGAGATCAGGTAATTACTGGAGGAATACCCCTATCTTGTCCTCTCTATAATTTTGGAGGTGACACTGCCCCGGTAAGCGAGGTGGCTGCAGATGCGGCTCAGGTGAGGATGAAGCAATCCCAACAGGACAAGGAATCCGTTATCAGGTGAATATGTGGGTGACAATTTACCAGGTAAGGAAAGTTACTTGTAGAGTAATAGGTATTCCGCACAGACCGGTTACGTTGGGCTTCTACGGGACCGCATCATAGTCGCCATCTGTCGTTCCCCTAGTATTCTTCCGTGTCCAATTCCTCCCAAACCACGTTCCCACCATAGTAAGGAATTTTCGGGATGAAAAACGTCAACACCCGCTTGTGCTCATGAATTTTTCTTGGCACACGCAATAAATGTCACACGATTCCGCGTGATAGAAACAGCTAAGCTGCTTGTTCTGATCCGATCCGGCTTATACCGCTTGACGTAAAACTTTACTAATCTAGCACAATTGAGAATATTGGAGAAGCAGATTGAGATCGAAAATTGGCCAGGAGGAGTCACGTGATAATCTTTCTGGGATTACGAAACCCTCAGGGAGGCAAAAACGAAGGGAATATCAAATATGACGAGAAGGGAGCTTCGAGAACGTCGACGTCATTGCGATTTCTCGGTTCATGGTCTTTTTCTCCAAAACTTTTAATTCCTCTGCATAATATACGCTCAGCACTTGCAATTAGAGCGTCAGCAGCTAGTTTTTCAGTGTCTCGCTGGGGTAATCACCCACATGCCTTTTACTAACTAGTTAGAGAAAACGATACCTGATAAGGTTTCTTGTGGTACAATGATGGCATTGGTGACACC